TCATTTAATCAATAAAATTAAAATCATAGAAACTATTCTAATTACTTGTATTCGGGTTCACACATTCTAAACCCCAGATCCATCGAATTAATTCAAGAATATATGTAAATCAATTTCGAACTAATTGTTTGCACAAATATTGTAGAAATACTGATTCCTCCAAATGACGGGTCACTCTACTGCACTGTGATGGTCAAAACTTACCAGGCAGCCTAGTCCCTTTAGTAATCTTGGGTTAGGTCCTGACTCCAAGAACCTCCAGTTACACTATAGTCCATTCGTTACAAAACGCCCTGTATATACTCTAGAAAACTCTGTACATACTTAAACCAAGTTTACATCTCACGATTCTGTAAGAAGTAGAAAAATTCTATAGACTTTTTAAAATCCTCATTAAAAATACGTTATATTTTATTTAATATTCCCGAACGCCCTTTTTTCCACTGTTGACTTAAAAATATTTGAGCTGATAACATGTGTGCCTGTTACAGAATGTCCAGCAAGGCGGAAAAGATAAACGGTGCTGTTGGGTATGCGTCCCGTGTCCTGCCGGAGAGGTTTTAGAAGATGACGGCGGGAGCTGCAGGAAGTGTCCTCTAGGCTCTGCTCCCGACGAACAAAAAATTGGTAAGATGATTAGATCACGAAACAGACAAATCCTTACAGCCCTCAAACCCCGAACACTAAAGCCGAAGTTTAGTACGCTGCTTTATGTGCGACGTGTGCCAACTGGTATTGCTGAAAACGGAATAAATATTATGTCAGCTTAAATTCTAGAGGATTATAAAATTACGCTGCTGTTTTTATTAAAGGTCGTCATATATGATAAAAAATGTCCGTATTTCTGGTGTCTCCCTGTACCGGAATTTCGAAACTAAGCTCAAAAATCAAATTCTCAAGCTTTGTTAATTTACTCTTTTCATTTGAATTTTGTTAAAATAAAATTATAACTTAAAAGAATCGTTTTTAAAACTCATCTTTGCAGCTAACATAATATTTTAATAATTATTTTCTTATAAGTACAAATCAGAGTACAGGCCAGGAAAAAGAGCTGCGAAATGATCATTTCGCGACTTTTTGTTTCGGCAAGCTGAATTTATCACTATAGATGCTAAATATTATGTACAATAAGATTGTTTACAGGCTAGTTAATTGTATAATTTTTACGTATATTCACGTTTTTCGCTTATAACTTTTTTCCGTTCATTTCCACGAGAAAGTAGTAAATATAAATTTTTTCGTCTTCAAAAGACCTACAAAACTAGCCTTCGAGCGTCAAAAAATATCGATTAGATCAAAAGTTATACACTGAAGAATTTTATTTATGACTTTTGAATTAAACATTTATAAACTGCGTTATTATTACCAGAACGATTTGGCATCGCATCCTCTCATACCTTATCACTGTCTAATAACTCACACGAAATCTGGAATCGGTAAGTTGAATAGTTTACAAGTTATGGCCTTATAAACAAATTAACTAATTATTAGTCTGGACGATCCCGAGCATCTTCCACAATCGCACTGATTTTTTTCATGGCAGATTTCATAATAATACATTGAAATCGATCATTTTTTTTTAATTTCAAATTTGCAACCTGGAATTTTTTTTTATTTTTTAGCCTTAGTTGCAAAATGAAATATACGACGCAAGCGCGTGATATAGTTATATATTATTACATATTCGGAAAGCTTATAAAAAGAGCTTTAAGTAAAAAAAAATCGTGAAGATTCGTTGAAAATCAACGGAGTTACAGACTGTCGAAGTTGACGGCCTATTGTTAAACAAATTAAGTTGCTAGCGGCAAAAAAAATACTGTCATAATCGGCAACCCGAGAAGTTTCCCAGATAAAAATATTTTATTTGTGGAAATATGTTAAGTACATAAGAAATATTGTCAAAAGTCAGTGGGTCGCTTGGTTTTTCGGCGAGCCGTGACGCGGCGTAAGGATGGGGGAAGCGAACGACAGCGAGTCCGAAGAAAATGACGATAATATTCATAGTCCTGCCGTTAAAAAAACGAAATTCGCTTGAAAATAATATATTTGTCATAAATAACAATGACATATTATTGGACACCGGAATGTACAAATTAGAGCATTTAGTATGTAAATTCCCAAATGACAGCAATTTTGTAATTAAAAAGATTATTGAAAATGTCGTTTAATAAGAAATTTTTAAGTAAACTTCATAAACTAAATTGCTACATGTAAAACCAAAAATTTAAAGAAACATGAATACAGACCTCATCTTACAATTAGTCTTTATGTATATTCAATTACAATCAAAGTAACAGTTGTTTTATAAAGGAAAAATAGATAACTAAAAACGTCTATATCAGTAACTCGATTTCTGTTCATCGTTCTCCATTACGTCGTATCTTATGATATTACATGACATTACCCCAACATCGATACATCTAAATGATGCGTAACCTCAACATTGCTTCTAAAAAATGAATCTACTCACATGGCGGCATAAAACATGGTTAATACAAGTCGAAATTTCTTTAAACTGCAAAAAATATATCATATGTACATCACATAGCGTCGTGACGTCAAAATGGTCATAAGTCCTAAATAATTCAGCTATTATATACAAAATTATTTGTTTCTGTAGAAAACTTTTTTATTGAAATGACGCCCATAAACGTCTATAATATTTGTATTATTCAATTTTCTATGGCTGAAAGTATACATAGGTATTGAATTTTCGAAACCGAGAGTGATACACTAACCAAAACAGGGCATATACAATACAATGCAAAACATCGCCTTGCTGTTAAATNAAAAAAAATACTGTCATAATCGGCAACCCGAGAAGTTTCCCAGATAAAAATATTTTATTTGTGGAAATATGTTAAGTACATAAGAAATATTGTCAAAAGTCAGTGGGTCGCTTGGTTTTTCGGCGAGCCGTGACGCGGCGTAAGGATGGGGGAAGCGAACGACAGCGAGTCCGAAGAAAATGACGATAATATTCATAGTCCTGCCGTTAAAAAAACGAAATTCGCTTGAAAATAATATATTTGTCATAAATAACAATGACATATTATTGGACACCGGAATGTACAAATTAGAGCATTTAGTATGTAAATTCCCAAATGACAGCAATTTTGTAATTAAAAAGATTATTGAAAATGTCGTTTAATAAGAAATTTTTAAGTAAACTTCATAAACTAAATTGCTACATGTAAAACCAAAAATTTAAAGAAACATGAATACAGACCTCATCTTACAATTAGTCTTTATGTATATTCAATTGCAATCAAAGTAACAGTTGTTTTATAAAGGAAAAATAGATAACTAAAAACGTATATATCAGTAACTCGATTTCTGTTAATCGTTCTCCATTACGTCGTATCTTATGATATTACATGACATTACCCCAACATCGATACATCTAAATGATGCGTAACCTCAATATTGCTTCTAAAAAATGAATCTACTCACATGGCGGCATAAAACATGGTTAATACAAGTCGAAATTTCTTTAAACTGCAAAAAATATATCATATGTACATCACATAGCGTCGTGACGTCAAAATGGTCATAAGTCCTAAATAATTCAGCTATTATATACAAAATTATTTGTTTCTGTAGAAAACTTTTTTATTGAAATGACGCCCATAAACGTCTATAATATTTGTATTATTCAATTTTCTATGGCTGAAAGTATACATAGGTATTGAATTTTCGAAACCGAGAGTGATACACTAACCAAAACAGGGCATATACAATACAATGCAAAACATCGCCTTGCTGTTAAATATGTTGTCATCGCCGTTCTTGGAGGTGAAAATTCGATATATTTGGAATTATTTAATTTTCTGTGGTTGAAAACACACATAGGTATTGAATTTTCGAAAGCGAGAGAGATGCACTAACCAAATTCGGTCAGGATATATTTAATATAATGCGAAACATCGTCTTACTGTTGAAAATGTTGTCACCTCCGTTCTTGGATGTGAAAATTCGAAATATTTGGAATTATTCAATTTTCATGACTGAAAACATAAGTACATATTGAATTTTCGAAACCGAGAGAGTTGCAATAACCAAATTTGAACAGAACATAGTTAATACAATGCGAAACATCGCCTTGCTGTTAAAAATGTTGTCACCGACGCTCTTGGTGGTGAAAATTCGAAATATTTGGAGCATACATAGATATTGAATTTTCGAAACCAAGACAAATGCATTAACCAAATTTGAACACGGCATAGCTAATATAATGCGAAATATCGCCTTGCTGTTAAAAATGTTGTCACTACCGACCTTGAAGGTCAAAATTCGAAATAGGTATTTGGAATTATTCAATTTTCTGTGGTTGAAAACGAATTTTCGATCCAAGAAAGATGTACTAACCAAAGGTCAGGAGATAACTAATACAATACGAAACATTAACATACTGTTAAAAATGTTGTCCGTTCTTGGAGGTGAAAATTCGAAATATTTGGAATTATTCAATTTTATCTGGCTAAAAACACGCATAGGCATTGAATTTTCGAAACCAAGAGATATGCACTAACCAAATTCGGATAGAACATACCTAATATAATGCGAAACATTGTTTTACTGTTGAAAGTGTTCACCTTCGTTCTTGGAAATATTTGAAATTATTAAATGTTCGTGGCTGAAAACATATATAGAATTGACTATTGAATCTTCGAAACCGAGAGAGTTGCACTAACCAAATTTGGGCAGAACATAGCTAATACAATGCGAAACTTCGCCTTGCTGTTAAAGTGATGTTACCGCCGTTCTTGGTGGTGAAAATTTGGGATTATTATATTATTATAAATCACCAGTTACGATTTTCTCTTTTTAGCATTTATTCTGAATGATCCTGTAGTTACGTTTCATTATTAAAATGAACCGAATGTTATTTTTTTGCGATAACGAATAAGGCACTTTAATTGGATACGGTGAGAATGTGTAATTAGGACGAATTTGATAAATACGTTTAATCTAAATATTTATAGACAAACTTTTCAAGAAATTTTAACCTACTAGAAAAAAAGAAAAATGTCTAAAATTCTATTACTATGTTTTAAATCAGAATAACATGTAGAATGGAAGAATATCGACAGTGGTATAATACTTACGTAAAGCTAAAAAAAATAAAATAAAATAAAATGTAATATTTTCTTAGCGCGTATTTTTAAACCACTCAAAGTTAAAGGGCTTTATCTGAATACCACAACCAAGTTTAATGGAGTGATACTACGCGTTACATGAGTGCGATCGTACATTTTTCAATATCGTTAAATTTATTGTCAGAAATCCATTGTTGCTGATAAAGCAAGGAATTGTGTTTGTTACGAATAATGTAGATTTTATATGTTTTCTTCTTGTAAATGTTTTGCAGGTATATGTATTCTCTGCATAAATTGGATTTTTTATTTGTTTGTTGTTGTTTAATAAACTGGTTACGAGATGCGTTGGAGTAGAATCGATTAGAAACTTCGAAATTACCCTTTTGACATTGATAAAGCAAAAGAAAGTGGAGATGATTGACAAAAACATATATCTTAATATGAAAACTGGCGAATGAAAAAAATAATAGAAACAAAAGAATTTGCACAGAATAACACGAGAATGATAATTTAGTTTGATGGATTTTA